GATTCTGCAACTTCGAGTGGAGGTCGGATGCATGGCCTATACCCAGACAAAATCGGATGATGACGATTGCCCCTTTTCTTATTGCTTATGTTGAAGAATGTATTCTAGACACATTTCGAGCGTTGCCAACGAATTACACTTGCAATGGTGAAGAAGGGAGCGGCTTTTTGAGCGGCCGAGAATCATCCTCGATAGATCCTCGACGCAAATATCTCCTCAACTAGAAATGTAGAAGGAAGCTAAACATACTGTTAGAAAGCGCAAACCTTCCGCTTTCCAAAACTGTCTTCGCTTTTCAAGTCTTGCGAAATTAGAGAGATATTGCCTTTTAAGTGGCAAAAACTCGCATGAAAAATTCCGCATCCTCGACGCTCCCTCGACAAAATTTGAGAGACCCTATCTCTTCGAGTGTAATCAATTTCAATATTGCCCGGTAGTAGCAAATCCAGCTCTATCTAACCCTACCACATGCTGCTCCGAAGGTTATTTAAAACGTTGACGACAGCCCGTTGTGCGCGCATCTCGACAACTTTTTGTTTATTATTTTCAAAATAGACATTACTCCTTCAACAATTCCACCACTGTTAATTGGTGCACAGTTTTCCGGATAAGATGCATCCAGACAGTTTTGAAATATGAAAATGCCAAATAAACCGACCAAAACGAGCCCCATCCGGGTGAAAATCTGACGCGCATGCGCGTCATGCTGTCGTCAACGTGTTAATGGGGGAATGGAACCTTTTCATCGAGAGTGTAGATTTCGACGGTTTCGAGCGGGGTTTCGGCAAATCTGACCCACGGATAAACCGCGCTGCAACTGAATGCTTTGCTGTACATTGATGGAACTCGCTTATTCACATCAAATCAAAGTTAGAGGGGTCGTATCAAGACCCGATCTGAGGGGGGGGGTCGTACTGAGGTGACCACGTCCTCGACACGATGACTTGAGGCTAGCTGCAGAATGTCCCAGGTGAGACTACCCTCGGACCAAGTTCCCAGCCAAATCTATCAAGCTTACTAGGAGCACTATAGACGACTTTCAGTATGCTCTAATCACAAGTTGCTTGAACCTAACGTCACAACTCTGTTTGGAAACATCAGCAAGGCAGAGTGAGTGATTTTTATTGAACACTCTGGCAGATAAAACATAAGAAGTTATTCAATGCTATACCGCTTTGATAACCTAACTCAACAACATTATTCACTATTGCACAATTTTATTGTGATATTTTCAATGTTCGTACAAAACGCATAACAAAACGCTGGAACATGAACGAGCAAACATTTCCGGCTTGATGCTTAACCCGCGTCAACATGTGGCTCTCATTTCTTCACTTATTATTTCCCCAATTCAACAAAAACATTAAGAACCACTACGATTCCCTTGATTCAACAAGCAGTCCATTAGTTGAGCCATTTTACGTTGTGATGCAGGTTCCGGCATTTCTCGGAGTGAAGAAGCAATGAAGGCACCTGAAAAATGAAAAAAAATCCATCCGAAACCGCCAATTACTGAGTATGACAATTTTCAAGTTACCGTATCGGTCATATTTATCCATGGATGCAGCCGATAACCTCTGTCTCAAAGAAGCTGTGATTTCACGTATCATTTCCAGACCTGGAAAAGAAATGTTACCATATTAATGCATAACTTTTTCAATTTCATGCAATTCATGGAACATTTCAGTTTATTTCTTTTTTGAAGGCGGTAACTTCTTAGTTAACGTCGTAGCTCACGGTGATTCAGTGAACGAGAACTGGACCGAGTAAAAGACGCCGAAAGCGCTCAATGGGCGAAGTCAATCCAGCCTAATACTTTAGCCAATTTGCCGAATATTTAGATCGATACGTTGACATTCCCAAGCAAAATCGCCACAACGTAGACGCTACCTAGTGGTTTCAGTGAACAAATAGACCTGGAGTAATTTATTTTGTATTCTACAGCAAATTGGTTAATTATGGGATAAGGTCTGATCAAAATAAACATTAGATTATTTTGAAAGCTACTTCTGGATTCTGGATTCCTGGAAAGAGAATTCTGGAGAAAACCTATGTCTTGCCATTTTGTTGAGAAGAACATGAGCTCTCAATAACAAAAAAAGGCACAAAAATAAACTACGCTTCGGCAACTGGCATAACCACCGTTTAACTTTCAAATAAGAATTGATAGAAAGCAAAACCAAGCGCCATGCGGTTTGGCGAAAATAGGTATAATTAAGAAAGAAAAACCATTATAAACGAAATAATTAAAATGGTTCGTTTCGCTCCTTCCTCAGACGAACCTTATTATTTCGTCAATCCCCGGAGCTCATCAGTGAGTTGGGATTGGCGAAATAGGGTGTGGGTACTTAGGACAGAACGCGACTTTTTCGCTCTTCGCAACGCGACATCGCGCGGCAGGCTGGCGCACCCGCAGCGAAAACAACTACGGTATGGAAGAACGCGCGATTGGAGCGCGATATTTGTGTCGGCTTTGATTGCGACAAGGAGTTTGAAGCTTAATAGCCATGGATTTGATAATGAACGAGGAAATGGTAACCAGAAGTGGACCGCTAACTAGCAGTGAAGAGGGAGGTAGGTTATTTTTGCAGAGATGGATGGTAGAGCTTCTGGAGAACCTGGAAGAGGAATGGTTGATGGACGTTTGATGAGACGACTGTAAACTTCTGCATAGGGGTTATTTGGGGCCCTGATCATGAATATGACACTAATTTTTCACATTCGTGCTGTTTAACGCAT